ATACTCGAGCCCAAGGACATCTAGCTGTCATCTAACAAAAATCAGAGGTCAGACTAAGCTAGAGGTTAAGTGCCAGGTCATTTTCTAGCTCCTAACCATGAAATGAAGGCTGTTTCTCATCTGCAATTATGTATTTCTCAAGCTTATGTGCCCTGTGCCCAATCAGAATCATCTCTGTTCCCTCTCCTTCCTCTGTTAACCACATCCATTTAGCAACACATCAAAGGAATTAAGCTTTTTAAGCCTGATCCATTTAGAAATGGCCATTCATTACAGCTTAAAACAGTACCTAAGAATCAGGAACAAAACCAGAATTTTTTACATTAAGGTTTATTTTCTCAGGTTGCCACACTTCCTTTAATCACTACTTCCAACATCCCTCCTCTTGTTCTTATGTCTACTCGTGTCTATAAATAGAAGAAAATCTGTGTTCGATTAGCATGAATTACCATCTTTTAAGCAGCTCCTTTTTTTATTCTCAGCTCTGGACCCAATAAAATCTCCTTGGCCCTGAAAGATAGTGTCTCTAGAAATGTTACTTCAATTTTTAAAACTTAAACATTTACGAGGTGGGCGGATCACTTGAAGTCAGGAGTTCGAGACCAGCCTGGCCAACATGGTGAAACCCCATCTCTACTGAAAATACAAAAATCAGCCATGCATGGTGGCACGTGCCTATAATTCCGGCTATTCGGGAGGCTGAGGCAAGAGAATCACTTGAGCACAGGAGGTGGAGGCTGCCATGAGCCAAGATCGCACCACTGCACTCCAGCATGGGTAACAGTGAGACTCTGTCTCAAAAAAAATGAAAACAAACAACTTAAGCATTTAAACCACATTTCTGATAAGTAGTGAGATAGAACATTAAGCAGTTACAGTATTACAAGCTTCATTCTATCTAAGAGGCAGCCTTAGAGATAACCATCCATAAAAATGAAACAAAGGGCAGGCAAAGCTTTTACACTAAACAGGTCTTGTTCATATTACTTGCATCATGGGAACCAAACAACAGTTGCATGAGTTTCCTAATCTTTACAAACATAAAAAACAAGGCTATAATAAATTCCAGTGTACAAACCCTGTCCCAAATATTTAAAAATGTTTTCCTGGACTGAAACAAATCATCAGAGACCCGCATGCCTGGACCGCATGTTCCAGTGTCATTGTAGAATAACCTTACTAGAATGAACTAAGGTGTTGGCCATCGGGTAATACTCAAGATCATTTACAAGGCACATTCCTTTGTTTTATCCACTGAAAAGACATGACTGCTTTGTGAATGCAAAGAAGTTTCTTTCAGGCCTCGGTGCCAGGAAACATTCTTCTCCACTGCAACTAACTTTATATTTGATGGACACTAGTTCCTATAACTAATCACATTACCTTCTCTTTGTGGCCTGCCAGTTTCTCCATGGCCCACTTATACACATTTTGGGGTAATAGCTTCAGTTAGGTTATTAATTTCACCCAGAAACAAATTTTCTCATTTAAAGATACTGCACTGTTTTTTTAATAAATCATTTTTGGATCATAGTACAGTAGAAATAAATCAATCACATAATTGTCAAAAAAAAAAGGCTACTAGGATGTCTGCCCATATTTGGCTAAAGTGCCTCCTTAAAAGAGGAAATGGTCCTATACCATGGACCAGTTACTTTCCAACAAATTGCAAATCACTTCTAGATTATTTGCCAAGGCAAGGAAGGCTGCTGCTCTAACTTTAGCCCCTACCATTTAATCCAAGGTAGATATACAGACAACTGTCTTCCACCTTCTCACCATCCCCCCAAAAATTCAGCGTTAGTTATAAAGGTCTCAGACACCTTTGGAACAAGACCCAGAAAAACAAACTTACCACCTTAGGCCTATTTTCTTGAGAATCTGGCAAAAGCTATAGACTCAGAAAGTGTACATAACACAAACTTGTACCCAATTTCTGGGATTCTGGAAGGCCCGTAAATATCCCCCAAGCTCATTCATGAGCCTTTAGTCAAGAACTCCTTTCTAGAAAATGGCAAGCTAGATGCCACCCACTAGAACGAGAGAGAGAGAGAGAGAGAGAGAGAGAGAGAGAGAGAGAGATCCTGCATATTACTTTCATGTAAAAGGTTCAAAGATGGGTTGGGAATCACAGACACATTACTCGATAATAAAATATTCATACTGTGATAACTGCCTCAAAATGTTCTGCTTCGTTCATCTTCACTCCATAGTCACTGTGTAATCAGTAGTAAATTTGGCCTCACCCCAGTCTCCTTATCCAGGTTTATTCTTCCTCAGAGGACCTCCCTCCAAGTAACATGATTTGTTGTCTGCCTCCATTGACTAGAATGGAAGTTCCATGAGGACAGGGGTTTGTTTTGCTCATGGCTGCACCTCTGATACATAAGAGGCACTCATATATTTCAATAGGTTTTTGGGGAACAGGTGGTGTTTGGTTACATGAATAAGTTATTTAGTGGTGATTTCTGAGATTTTGCTGCACCCATCACCCAAGCAGTGTGCACTGTACCCAGTATGTGGTCTTTTATCCCTCACCCGTCTCCTACCCTCAAATATTTTTTAATGAATACCCTATAGGACTCTCTACTCTTTATAGAAGGGGTTGGCAAACTATGGCCTGCAGGCCAAATGTAGGCTTCCATCTGTTTTGTAAATAAACTTTTACTTAACTCAGCCATGCTTATTCACTTACATATTATTTATAACTGCATCAACACTACAGTGGCAGAGCTTAGTAGTTGCAATGGGAACCACATGGCCTGCAAGGCCACAAATATTTACTATCTGGCCCTTTACAAAAAAAGTTTGCTGGCCCCCTATAGCATTCATCTGGTTCTTGTTTTCCAAACTAGATTGGAAGCACTCTCGAGACCGGTCTTATACTTCTTTGGACCTAGAACAGAGTAGATGCCCTAAAATAGCTAGCACTATACAAACAGATTTCCTACTTCCAATATATATTATTTTTACATAGTTAATCCAAAGATAGTATTTTCCATCATCAATGCGTTTCTAGCAAGGCCAGAACTGATTACCTGTGTTTGATGATTTGGGGAAGAAGAAGAAGAAGAAGGCATACTGATGCTATCTAATTAGTAGTAAACTTTCTAGTTCAAAATCACAATCATGAAACCTTTAAAATATGAATGCATATTTAACAACTGGAAAGTTCTTCCTGATATCTTTCAGACAAATAATTTTGACATAAGCCATAGTTATTTTCTCAAAGTCAGAAGTCACTCTAACAAAACATCTATTTTTATGTCAGGCACATTATAAGCACTCAACAGTCACTGAATACATCACCCTCCCATAAATATTCTGCTCATCGATTTTTGCAAATTACAAGTACCTGAAAAGGGTATCAAGATTTATACCCTTTTGCCAATTCATTTAAAATATGCTCAGCATTTCTCAGTTCTTTAAAAAAGTATATCCTTTTTGTCATTCTCTGAAAATTTTAATTTGCATAGGTATTGTTTCCAAGGAACTGAAGACTAAATGGACAAATCCAGGCATGATATCAGTCCACTGTTTACTCCAACTATAGAGGTAATCAAAGAGGATATTTTCCTATTATCGGATGATATGTCATTTGAAAATAATGTAGCCCACGGAATAAGAACTGAGAAGGGCTAGGAACCTTAATGAATTATCTTTGCTATGTCATTTTGAATAAGCAACAATATACACAATAATATACAACCATTTGAGAAAACTATTGTTTATTTAGAAAAAAGGTTACACTGGTAGAATTCGGTAGATAAAAAAATTCTCTTTTAAAAATGTCACTGTGAAACTTTTCCAGACGAAAGTTTAGCAATACAAAGCTCCTATAGCTGTAGAATTAAAACAATTATGTTTTGATCCCCCCGCCACCAAGATTTGTCTAATATAATTACAAGAAAAAATGGCAAGGGACAAGTGAGCGCTGGTACCTTTTTCTTTTTTAAACACGTTTAATGTTGTACATGTACTATATAAAATGATTCCTAAGCATTTCATAAGACAATGCTCCCATTGCTTTTAGTGACTAATATTAAGAACAAGCCAAATAATAAGTTAAAACTGAGTTTTAAAATGAGGTAAAATCAAAATGGTTCAACAATTGTTTATTTTCAGTTTCAAACAATAAAAAGGAAGCATTTCAGAATGGAAATAAAAACTGAACCCAGGCAATATTTAGTTAAACTAAAGTAAAACTCTGTACACAGGTAACCTTATGCAGCACATTGTGCTATAAGTATGGAACAGTTAACACTTTCAGCCATTACTGAAAATAAACATGTAGAAACTAAGCAACAAGTTAAAATACAGTAATGCACAACTTAACAATTTTAAGTTTTCCACATGGAGCAATAAAGCAGATAACTGAATAATTTAAGGAGATGCAAATGGCCCTCTTCATTCATTCTTAATTCTTGGCAATTTACTCAGGAAAATAAATTTCTGGTCGCAGCTGAACAGTTCCACTCCAATCTCACCTGAAAGAAACAAAGTGATTATATTGATAGAGAAGAAGGAAGGAAGGAAAGGAGGGAGTAGGGGAGGGACAGTTAGTCAAAGGAGGTAGGAGAAAAGGAAGGGAGAAGGAGAGAAGGAGAATGAAAGGAGGGAGGGGAGAAGAAAGGAAGAAGAGAAGAAGGAAGGAAGAGGAAAAGGTAAGGAGGGAGGAAGGTTTAAGAAAGAAAGAAAAGTTAATGAGTTCCATCAGTAACAAAGACTTGAATCCCCAGAAAAGGATGAAATATTTGTGTGTTTCTTTTTGTCCATTCTTAGAAACCATTAAAGATAAACACACTAATGATGACTTAAAAAAAAAAACTGAACATTGTGTGCATGTGGGAGAGAGGGGTGGGAGTAGGGAGAAAAAAATGGAGCAACAAGTAAAACTTTCCACAGGGGCAAGCAATAGCTTATCAAAAGTAAATAGAAAATGTAGCAAAGAAAAGTAACCTATTTTACATGGTCAACAAAAAAAGAAAAATGACATCACATTTTTCACAAGGACACAATTTTAATAGTAACTTATATTAAGATGCAGTGTCTGCTAAATTATAAAAATTGCTTAAAAAATATATTGACTTAATTATACTCATTTCCTTTCCTTTATGTATTGACATTTTTCAAATACTTCATATTGAAATAATTTCAAAACATGATTATTACAACATGTGGCAAATATCTTCACATCTGCCTTCATTCAAATTTTAAGCTAATGCTTAATGCATTAAACTTTATTGATGAAAATACTACATTCACATATTTCTTAAAACCAGGGCTAGAAGGGTCCTTAGAAAATAATCACACTTACATGAAATGCTGACAAATAATTTACATATCATTTCTACACAGCATTCTGTTCACACCATGTATAATCTTGACATTATCAATAACTGTGGATACATTTAATGTTGAACTTACAATTTAATACTTAAAAGCCATTGTTCCTGTCCATTAATTGCTGAATGGATAAATAAAATGTGGTACACACTCATACAATGAAACATCATTTAGTCATAAAAAGGAATGGAGTTGATACATGCCACAACATGGATGAGCCTTGAGAACATGATGCTAAGTGAAAGCCAAACACAAAAGGCCACAAATTATTGCATAATTCCATTTAAATGAAATGTCCAAAACAGGCAAAATCATAGAAACAGAAAGTACATTACTAATTTCCAGGGGCTGAGGAAGGGAAGAATTGGGAGTGACTGCTAATAGGCATGGAGTTTCTTCTTGGGGTGATAGAAATGTTCCGGAATTAGACAGCAGTGATGCTTGCACAACACAGCGGATATACTAAAAACCACTGAATTGTACACTTTAAAATGGCAAATCTGAGGCCGGGCGTGGTGGCTCACGCCTGTAATCCCAACACTTTGGGAGGCCAAGGTGGGTAGATCACCAGGTCAGGAGATCGAGACCATCCTGGCTAACATGGTGAAACCCCTATCTCTACTAAAAATACAAAAATTAGCCAGGCGTGGCGGTGCACGCCTGTAGTCCCAGCTACTCAGGAGGCTGAGGAAGGAGAATTGCTTCAACCCAGGAAGGAGGCAGAGGTTGCAGTGAGCCGAGATCGCGCCACTGCACCCCAGCCTGGGAGACAAGAGCGAGACTTGGTCTCAAAAAAAAATAAAATAAAATAAAATAAAAGTAAAAGGCAAATTTGAAGTTATATGAATTTTATCCCAATTGTTTAAATTGCAAAAAAAGTCAATGTTCCAATTAAGAGCATTATGGTATCACAGTGTGGTCGTAACTAGGAGAATAAGAAATGGGCTCTCAATCATAAAGGTGTCACATTACAAGAATTACTTGGCAAGGGACATTTTGGTGACACATTTAAGGGCACATTAAAGGATAAAATTGCTGTTGCTGTTAAAATATGTCAAGAACATCTTCCCCAGGAACTGAAATTAAAATTTTTACTAGAAGCCAAAATCCTCAAGCAATATAATCACCCCAGTACTGTCAAACGTATAGGAGTTCGCACACAAAGACGGCCTATCTACATCATTAAGGAACTGGTTCCAGGAGGCGATTTCCTCTCCTTTCTGAGAAAGAAGAATGAACTAAAACTCAGTTAGTGAAATTTTCATTAGATGCTGATTCTGGATGGCGTATCTCGAGTAAAAAATGTATACACAGGGACCTTGCTGCAAGAAACTGCCTGGAGGTGAAAATAATGTTCTGAAAATCAGTGACTTTGGAATGTCTCGTCAAGAGGATGGTGGTGTGTATTCATCTTCTGACTTAAAGCAGATTCCCATTAAATGGACAGCACCAGAAGCTCTTAATTATAGGATATATCGTTCTGAGAGTGACGCACGGAGCTTTGGCATCCTCCTCTGGGAGACTTTCAGCTTAGGGGGTCTGTCCATAGCCTGGAATGACAAATCAGCAAGCACAAGAGCAAGTGGAAAGAAGATACTGGATGTCAGTCTCTTGGCAGTGTCCAGAGAGTATTTTAACAAAATAATGCTGAGGTGTTAGGATTACAAACTTGAAAACCGCCCCCAACTTTACTGAACTTCAGAAAGAGCTAGCTGCCATCAAGAAGAAAGTTGCACAGTGATGAAACAGTGCCAAACTCAGCCTTCAGGACTCTATTTTCAGCAGAGCACTATTTCTCTTCTCATTAACATTTATACCACATTACCTGCAACATTCTCCCATTAACTATTTTTGAAAAATATGTGCTGCTTTAACCATTGTAAATAAGAAAGTATAAGTTCTAAATGTAAGGGATCACACAGATCTATCTTTTTCACATCTAGGACTGTTGCTGTTTCTCAAAAATTTTCTACTCCAGGCTCAGTTCATAGTCTGCTCTTCTCCATCACAGACACCTATTGGTGCTATAAGCTGTATTGGTAATATTTGTAGGGAACATCGCCAACAGAAGATGGCCTTCCTACTCTGCTGAGACAAGATTTTATCTGTGAACACCATTTTATATTGGTAATTATATGGACCTCCTAAGTTGTTAGTTTTTTTTTTCTTTTTCTTTCTTTTTGGCCAGAGATAGGTCCTGTTTTGTTAGTAAGACTGCCATTTCCCTATGTTTCACAATGCCATCCTATGCACAAAAATCCTCAAAGAGTTGAGGCAGCTGATTGTAACTGATGTTATAGAGAGCTGTGACAAGAAGAATCAAGTTTGAAAAGTACGGTGGTCTGGCGAAAGGAACAGCTAGGGTGGTCATCAAAGTAGAGAAGAAAAGGCAAACATAAAACCAGCCTTCTTAACAGAGGTATGCCTTTATAAAACACATACACGCTTTTTAATTTTATGATCAAATTCACCAAAAAGGTCCTAAGAAATATTTTAGTAGTTTATATAGATTCTTCATAAAAGAGCCCTCTGGATGGCAACCAAACAATTTTTAAGAGAAACTATAAAATACAAGCCCACCAAAATAATATATTATTTTTGGTTAAGTGTCTTCACTTCAAAGGAAGCATCCCAGAACTGCATTCCATGCATTTTTACTAGTGTCTGAAACTGTCAGAATTTCATTCTCATTCTCTCACTCTTTGCACATAAACCCCAGGTAGAAAGGCATATACGGATGCACTTGACATTTAAAAAGTCAAACAAATATTGATAAGGAAGAAAAAAGTTATGAGGAGAAAGACATGGGGACAGCTATCCTAAATCCACTTTACTCCTTCATTTACCCTTATACTGCAACCTAGGAATTCTTACAGCAAACAGAGTTCCTGAGATGTTCCATGTGGATAAAATGTAACAGAGTTAAGATGTGGATTCTGTTGAGCTGCATCTTAACTGCACCCAGGGATGCTTCTCAGGATAATTATGTGCCTAGGGGAAAGACACACTTAGGGCAAATGTTGCATGGAAGCCTTTTATAAGTGCTCATGCCTATGTCAAGATTTTTAAAAACAGCATATAAATGAATATTTGCTCTACTGTAAGTGGAACAGTAAGGAAACAGAAAATTTCTCCTGCCCTCTTCAACTGTTTGGTGCCTATGAATAACAGTGCACAAAACCTATACTCAGTATTTTTAAGTATAAAAGATGATAATGAAGAGAAAAATGATTTGTGCTTGTCATTTTCAAACTCCTAACAAGAGTCTAGTATACATGTAATGGTTACTACATACAGACCAAAATGAGAGCATACTAAATCTGCCCTCAAAAAATGTGCTGCAGCAAATAAGCAAGCTCTTTTCATCAGTATAGGTTTCTCGGTTTCTCTCCTATAAAATGGTGTGTTTGGTGGCAAAAAAGTCAATGTTGCACTTACACAGAGATATTAAATGTTTCTCTGGCATCGATGTGAACATTGATGAGTTCCCTATCCCATACCCTATCCCAATACCTATCGTCAACATCTAGGAATAAGCCTCAAAATGGCAATGCTTATTTTAACAAGAAATCTTTGGGAGCTTAGGAGGTCAGTTTCAAAGTATGAGCTGAAGGGAAAACAACAATACAAAAAAAAGGCTTAGAGCTGGAATTACAAAATCAATTGTCTACAGAGGCCAAGAACATAATGAAAACAAAAGAAACGAGCTGAGTGGGGACTGACTGAGGTGAACTCTTTTTAAAAAGGCCCTTGCTCTATTCTAAATGGGGGGGCAGCACCTAGACAAGTGTAGCTGAAACCAGGATACAATGTTGCTATGCAGAAATCAGAACACAATGTTACCAGATGTTCCAACCCTTCAAGAAAAACTGAAATTTGGATTTTGTCAGTTCTGATTTTTAAAAACAGATTTTTAAAATTTTGAAATATTGTGTGAGGTTAAGAAGGTGCATTTGGCTGGTGGTGGTGGCTCACATCTGTAATCCCACCACTTTGAGAGGCAGAAGGCAGGATTACTTGAGTCCATGAGTTCAATACCAGCCTGGGCAACATAGTGAGACCTCGTCTCTACAAAAAAATTTTTAAAAAAAAGAGGCCTGGCGCAGTGGCTCACACCTGTTATCCCAGCATTTTGGGAGGCCAAGGAGAGCGGTTCACTTGAGGTCAGGAGTTTGAGACCAGCCTGGCCAACGTGATGAAATTCCGCCTATGATGAAAATACAAAAAAATTAGCCAGGCGCAGCGGCACATGCCAGTAATCCCAGCTACTTGGGAGACTAAGGCATGAGAATCGCTTGAAACCGGGGTGTAGAGGTTGCAGTGAGCCAAGATCGCACCACTGCACTCCAGCATGGGCGACAGAGAGAGACTCTGTCTCAAAAATGAAATGAAATGAAATGAAATGAAATAATGAAATGCAATGAAATGAAATGAAAAATAAAACAAAATAAGAAAGTACATTTAACAAGCCACATTCTGCCCAAGGGCTGATAATTTGCAACCTAGGATTTAGAGGATAAAAATTAGGTTACACATGTGAGACTAGAAGGAATGGACCTGCAAAATATATTTGGCCTTCTTGGAATGGAAGATGAGAATAGGAATGTAGTAGATTAAAAATACAGATTATGAATAAGTAGTGCTAACTGCTATGTTCTTTAAAATCAAAGTCCTACATCCAAAATAATAAAAAGCAAGGAGACTGAGCATCTCAAGGCCTGGGAGCAAATGTCAGCTTAGCATAGCATCTGGTTCACAAAAGGACTTTCAAAAGTTTGCTGAACTCAACATCCCTGAGTTGAGGATCACATACATCAAATTAAAATTGAGAAGCCAAAGGGTGGTGGTTCTCAGAGGATAATTTTACAAGCAGGAATTAAAAAAAAACAAAGTTACAGTAGGAAGAAAGGTTAAAGGCAAAGGAACTAGTAATCTTCAAGAGACTAAATCAAGGAGAGGCAAGATGAATTTGGACAAAGACTTTAAGGGAAATAGACAATGCAGAGAAGGAACAGAGTTTTGCAACCAAATATAGAAGACAAGAGAAGATGACAGAAGACTGGAAGAAATTTAATTATGGTCATATTTATGTACTGTATCTTATTAATTCTTAAGAGACAGAGTCTTGCTCTGTCACCCACGCTGGAGTGCAGTGGCATAATCATGGCTTACTGCAGCCTTGAACTCCTATGCTCAGGAAATCCTCCAGTCTCAGACTCCCAAGGAGCTGGTACTACAGGTGCATACTACCATGCCTAGCTAAGTTTTATTTATTTATTTATTTATTTATTTATTTATTTATTTATTTATTAGAAATGGGGTCTCGCTGTGTTGCCCAGGCTGGTCTCAAACTCCAGGTGCATACTACCATGCTTAGCTAAGTTTGTTTTATTTATTTATTTATTTATTTATTTATTAGAAATGGGGTCTCGCTATCTTGCCCAGGCTGATCTCAAACTCCTGGCCTCAAGCAATCCTCTTGCCTTAGCCTCCTACAGTGGGATTACAGGCATGAGCCACCATGCCTGGCCTTGTATCTTAATTCAAATGTGATTGTTTTAACGTTTGTGAAAATCAGGATGATACTTACAAATCAGTGTGTTATTTCTCTACCAACCCTCCTCAAGAAAACTGTTCTAAAAACAATAATGAAACCTTACAAGTAATGACATCTTTCAATCATGGAAATATGACATATGTAAGAGCTATCCTTTCTAAAGAATAGAAAATAAAAGGGGAGTGGGGGAGGGCAGTAGATTTCAAAGTAGCCTGTAAAGAGATGGTTCCAATCAGAAATGATAACATTCTAAAAGAAAAGGAAGAAAAACAGACCTGACCAACCCTGGAATGTATCCAAATAGAAGGCAGCAGTCAACAACCAGAAAAAGAAACTATCGGCCAGGCACGGCGGCTCATGCCTATAATCCCAGCATGTTGGGAGACCAAGTCACACAGATGGCTTGAGTCCAGGAGTTTCAGACCAGCCTGGACAACATGGCGAAACCCCATCTATACTTATAATTTTTTTTTTTTTTTTAAATAAACTATCGGCTGGGTACAGTGGGTCACGTTTGTAATGCCAGCACTTTGGGAGGCCGAGGCAGGTGGATCACCTGAGGTCAGGAGTTCGAGACCGGCCTGGCCAACCTGGCTAAACCCTGTCTCTACTAAAAATACAAAAATTAGTCGGGCATGGTGGCGTGTGCCTATAGTCCCAGCTACCAGGGAGGCTGAGGCAGGAGAATCGTTTGAACCCAAGAGGGAGAGATTGTAGTGAGCCAAGACTGCACCACTGCACTCCAGCCTGGGTGACAGACCGAGACTCCATCTCAAAAAAAAAAAAGAAAAAGAAAAAGAAACTATCAGCCAGATGGCCCAGCACAGTGGCTCACACCTGTAATCCCAGCACTTTGGGAGGCCAAGGCAGGTGGATCACCTGAGGTCAGGAGTTCAAGACCAGCCTGGCCAACATGGTGAA